GATCGCGTGGGTGAGATTTCCAAAATATTGACCAGAGAGACTTGTGCTTTGATAATTATTCATGTAAAATTGTATGAAATTATATTATTTGAAAAATTATTTTTGTTTTGGCGATAGTGTTTCTTTTTGGGAGAAACGTATTGTTACGTATTGACTTACGTTTCTCAAATTATGAATGCCATCATGAACAAACAAAAATATAATGAAATATAAAATTATTTCGAACATAAATCTTTCAAAATTTGAATAATTTACAAATTTTATGATCTCAATTGAAAGATCGACTAAAAAGAAACATAAAAGTGTTGCGGTTTTTTTTTCTGTAAAATCAATATTTTAGGAGTTATGAGCATTTGAAGTGAAAAAGTTCAAATATAGGAAAATGACCGCAAAAACAAGAAAATAAATTGAAATATTGAATATTTCGAGAAAAGAACAATATATACATTACAAACAATAAATCAAAGAAGAAACAAAGCTAAAAACTCTGTATTCAAGTTAGAAAAGACAAATAAATGAAAAATACAAATAACAAAAAAAAAAAGAAGAAGAAAACAAAACTGTTAATGGAAGACGGAACAGTATTTGTCACCTTGGCATTGCCGATTAAGCAATCTGAATAATTAATAATTAATTTACTAATAAAAACAGGACGGGACCAAAAAGGAGCCCACAAATACTAATTATAATTATAGATGAACTAACCTGCGATGCTAAGGCAGGCTAGCAACCACGATAACGAGTGACGTTTTCTTAAATGAAGTCTTCTTAAATATTTAAGGAAAATTAACTGAAGAAACAAGAATACATGAGTTTTGAAACGATATAATTCCTTTAAAAACGAACAAAAAAAATAATATAAAATTATTCTTAAAAACCATTATAATGTAAATGGAACAAACTGTCTCAGACAGAAAATAAATCTACTCAACAGTTATCAAATTATATTTCGATTGCACATGATGATGTTATATAGAGAAAAATAATAATAAACACATGAAAAATCAAGAAATAATTGAACCTTAAAAATTCCACAGATCATTTGACTGGAAAAATCATAAAAATGTAAAATTGTTTATAAACAATTGGGATAATGTTCATAGAAAAAACTTGAAAACAGGCTAAAAATAAAGGGTCTATATCGGTGAAGATACCCTGCGAAAATCGTTTCTTCATCTCTGCAAACAACGGACATATGAAATTTCAAAGATACCATACTCGCGCACTCAAACACGTGTATCCGTGTATCTATTAGAACTTTGGAAATTAATAGCGCCCTCTGTGTAAGAGATGGAGAGAAGTTTGTCGAAGAAAAAGTATTCTATAAATTGTGAATTATTATATCCCTTGATCAAATATTGAACAACCCATCACCAAATTTAATTGTTATAAACAAAACAGTAAATTTTATCGGAAAAATCTGGAAAAGGACTAAAATCGAAGATCTCAAAGCCCCGAATAAGACAAAATTTGAATCATTCCTTAATCTTCATATGCAACGGAGATATGATTTTTTTTTAAAGTTGCACACACACATGCACTTGTAGATGCGTATACATGCGCTCTAACGAAACTTTGGAAATTTCTAGACGTTTTTCTATGAGGAATATAGGTTAGATATGAAAAATGATGAATAAATTGGTCTCTCTAAGAATGCATTATCAAAAAAGTCAAAAAGTCAATAGACAGATCTGACTGTCTATTGACATGTCATTCAAAATCTACCATAAAAATTCAGAAATCAATGCAATCAATTGAAGTTTAAGTGAGGAACATGAAAATAATGAAAAATCACGGAAAAAGTCAAATTAGAAAGTGTCAATTTCCAGGTCATTGGCTACCCTTAACTTGGAACCTTAATGACTTTGGAACCGATTAACATTTCGGAAACTAAAAATATTCTAAAAATCCTCCATTAGATTCCCCACAGAATAGAACATTGAACAGATTTTTAAATTCAAAAACCACCCTTTGGGAAGCTATTAGACAGTTTCTCAAGGTCAAATTTTTGACTGTGAATATCTCCGAAGATTATAAAGATTAAATAATGAAATTTTGGGCACAAATACTATAAATCAAGGTCTTCCAGATAAACTAAAAAACCTTTCCGATATATTGTTGAATAACAATGTTATTAACAATCGAATGTTATAAAAAAATGAAAAAAATGTTTTTCATCGGAATTATGTTTCCGGCTGAAAAATAGACTCAAAAACGAATTTTGTAAAATTTGTCAATATACAATATCAATAGACAAAAATTGTCATATGCAGTACCATAAGGGTACTGCACCTCAAGGAACCGTAGAACCGTAGGAGCCATAGTAAAAATCAAATTCAAAATTCAGCCAAAAATGAATTATCCATAAGTAAAAATATCAGAAATAATTCAAATGAATTAAAAATGTAAAAATATTCAATGTATAAAGGCCTAGTAGGGTGCCACAGTGTTGGGAGTACTCTACACACATTACATAGGGGTACGCTTGACGCTCGACCCCCACCTTCAGGTAGCAAGTCTCACCGCTTCACGCGGCATCCCCACTACTCTCACCACTGTGCCACTTCGGCGGCTCGACGCAACGTCGACGCGCCGTAGAGAGCGAGTCGAGGTACCTCGAGACGCGACGGCCTACAGTCAGTTCAGCTCCAGCGCTCGGAGTAACCGGTCATAGCTCAAAAGGAGCTCCGTGAAGCGAAATAAATTCGGTAAAGTGTTTTTCGGACTTGGAAAATTCGCGAGTTTGTGGACTTAGTGAAATTTGCGAAGTGTTCCTTTTTGGACTTGGAAGAATTTTTGAAGTGTTACTCTTGGAATGAGTCAAATTCTCGACATATCCCCTTGGGACTTAGAGAATTTTTAGGGATGTCCACTCTGGATTTAGAATATTTTCGATTTGTCCCCTCTGGACTTAGAATTTTTCCTGATCCAAACTTAGAATTTTTTTCTCTCATTTCGACCTTTATCTTCGGATCTACAAATTCATCAATTAAGTTATAAAGTTAATTCAAGAGTTTCATCAAGTCCACAATATTTTAATAAACAAATTTAATCCGATAATCCGTTGAATACCCGGCGGTGCCTGAACTGACTAGGAAACTCTACTTTTAAAAAACGAATCAAAAATCGAATAAAAAAAAATACATCAAATCAAATATATTTGTGATTATGAAGTTAATTGAGAAGTACCAATACCCCAGTGAATAAATTCTGAGAATTTTACCGAGACGATCTGAAAGGCTTTGAACGTTTGAACTAACGTTCGGTGTTTCAGTGACCCCCACGAGAATTCTCAAAATTCGTTTGCTTTTTTTCAACATTTCAGATAAATCAATTCTGAGAATTTTGCCGAGACGATCTGAAAGGCTTTGAACGTTAGTTCGGTGTTTCAGTGACCCCCACGAGAATTCTCAAAATTTGTTACGTTCAGAAAAATATTACGAGTATTTTACCGAGACGATCTGAAAGGCTTTGAACATTAGTTCGGTGTTTCAGTGACCCCCACGAGAATTCTCAAAATTTGTTACGTTCATAAAGATATTACGAGAATTTTACCGAGACGATCTGAAAGGCTTTGAACATTAGTTCGGTGTTTCAGTGACCCCCACGAGAATTTTCGCAATACAATTCATATTCCCGCAAAATTTAGAATACAAATTTCAAATATTCCAGTGATCCTAACCGCATCCGACGCTCGGGAACTAAACCACAAAACCTAAAATAAAGATAATATTGTTTGATCTTTCTAGTTTTCAAAATATCTAGAGCTATTCCCAGTGGTAACAAAAATGATTACAAACTGAAAAGTGGAAATTTATCTAAATAAACTGAAACCAGCAATCCAGTGAGCGTTTGTTCGATCGTTGCCTGCAGTCGGAAGCGAGCCGCTGCCGCCCGTTGGACTTCTACCACTCAACGAAGGAATCTTGGTACCTTCAAATCAGGCCTTCACAGATCGAGCCCCTTTGATACAACGATCCAGAGTCATTGACGAGCAGAAGTGAGTAAAATGAAGACAACAATTAATTTCTCTTATCCCGGGTATCGTTTGATACTCCAAAAAAAGAGATATTTATTCCTGAATCATTAAAGAACATTAACAAGGGATAACTTTTTCAACCTAGTTACGGCAAGTCAGAGAGTAATCGGCTACCGCTCGACGATTATTGCTTAAAAATTCGGCTTCCCAACTTCTCTTGTTTGCTCAAATGTTAATCAATAAAATAAATTCTACTATTTTATCTATTTTTATCTCAAACCAATCGGGAATACGTACCACCGGATTGTATGGATTTCTCTTCTGCGATCTCAATCACTTCTCTCATCATATAATAGCTTTCTACAAATTTATTACCTCTCCGTAAAACACTGTCAATTATATTCAGAATGGAAATATCCAAGTTATCGAATGCAGACATTCGACAACGATTTGCTTCATCCGCATCAATCATGAATAACTGCCCGTAGCTAGGCACTCCGTCGTCCCTCTCTGGATATACTGATGTATTCATTTGGTAATAAATTTGTCCTTGAACCATGAAACAATAAGGTCCTGGTCTCCTTCCTTCAAAATTGGTTAAATTGGTATTGAATGAAGCGAAAGATGAAGCATTATTATAGCTTCGAATATTTTTAAAGAAATTGATGGAATTAATATTTTCAATATCGAATAACTCTCGTAATTCCGATGGATAATCTTCGAAGTTAATTGCGACGACTTCACCATGACTGCAACAATCATTGAATGAATCTTTTCCTTTAGTGGATACACGTTCTCCTGCGAAATGTTTCGCTTTACAGTTTTGACAGAACACATCCATTGGCCCAAGATAATTTTCATCAACTCCGTCATTAATTTTAGTATTATTGTCATTGAAACAATAATTTTTCCGCATACGATAATTTTTTTTTCTTTTTACCAAGCTTCCATTATCTCGATTCCTCTCACGATAAGCTCTCTCTCGCTGGGCATGATTTTCATTTTGTCTCTTCTTCGCATTTTATTGAGCGATTTCTTCATCACATTTTCGTTTCCAGTACTTTCTCTGTCTTTCCGCAGCTTTTTCACGTTTCAACTCATGTTTCTCAATTTCTAATATGCGTTTTTTCTCTCTACAACGTTGGTGCAAAGCATTTTCCGCTTTTGAAGGTTTCCTCTTCATTTCAACTTTAGTAGGACCCTCTATGTCTTTATCGGAATTATCCTCACTCGTTATCGATGACTGCGTTTCATTATGAAATACCTGATTTCGTTTCCGCATTCGACATTGTCTCTGCCGTTCAGCAGCATTTTCTCGTTTCAAATTCTTTATTTCCGTTTCAAAAACCCGTCTCTGGTATCTGCAACGCCATTGTCGTTGAGAATTCGTCTCTTTTGAATTTTTCTGTTGACTTCCGGTTTCAATATTACTCTGTCGTTCATCCACACTCGAATTCGTATTCACTGTTTCTTCCTCGTACTTACGCGCACGACATTTCCTCTGCCAGACAGCTGCTCTTTCTTGTTTTAAATTCTGTTTATGTATTTCTAATACCTGTTTCTTCTCTCTACATCGTCGTTGTCGTTGAGCATCACTCTCTCCGCTCTTTTTTTCAGTATTTTTTCCTGTTTCACTTTGATGATCGTCGTGGTTTGAGTTTCCCGTCATCTTTAGAGATAAGTTATCCTCACTCTCATCTGACATGATTTTTTTTTATTCTCGCATATGATTATTCTCGTTCTATTCTCATAATCTACTCATAATCTACTCATAATCTAATCTACTCTCAATAAATCGTTTGATTCTCAATGGTTTCTGTAATGAAATGATGGTTTGGGAATGGGCGAATTATCCAACATGAATTTCCCTCAGCCAGTCACAATCCATATTTGAGAGTGAATCCAGGATTCATGGTCATTCAAAATTTAAAAAAGTACTGTAAGATGAAATTGTACTTACCACAGCCTGTGTCGAATATGATGAATATGATATAACAAACCGTTTCCAGGCATATATTATGGACCAATATCTCGTCAATCTTTCCAATATCAATCTGCTGTTATCAACCAATTACCCGTCTGATTCAGAACATAATTCAATGAATAAGTTATTATCTTTGATTTCACAATTAACCTTGAGTACTTCTGCAAGGCACCAACTTCAGTTAAATTCAATGAAAGCCACTTCACTCTGTTGACAACTTCACCAATATAATAATAAAATCGTAATTCTAATTATCGAAATTAATGGACGAAATGAATTATCAATAGCTTTGATATTTCCATTTATTTGCCATGAAATATAGGGAAATGCAATAAAAGTTCAATTTTTACAGAAATATATACAAATGGAATTTTCTCGTAGACCTCCCATAGTTTTCTATGAGAAACGATCGTAATTGGTTGTTTTACCTCTCAATTGCAAACTTACGGAATAAGCTTTACAACAGATATGAGATTACCGCTAGTAATGAATCCAAAGGTCTTAAAATGAGGGCAAAATGCTAAAAAAATATGAAATTTTTTTTTGTGACCGGCGAAATTCGACAAATAATCGCCCATACCAATTGATTGAATGAATGGAATGAGAAGAACGAAGCGTAATTTTAAAGAACTCGTTGATATCTTCGAAATGGTGGATGATAAAACTTCATTCGTTGCACCCGAAGGTCAGATAATCAATGAAAACAGCGAATTTTAAGGTGTGATATGAAGTTCAAAAGAGAAACAATGTCAAATAACTTTATAAAAATTCTGCTAAATCGCATTCAATACATCACAATTTGAAGAATGAAGAATGTTCTGTCAGATGATTTATTAACATTTTTATTGCTTTGACTCGAAAGAATGAGAAAATTCAGTCAAAGTTGATTTTTCGATATAAACCATAAAAAAAACATTTTTGCCAAAAACTCTCATAACTCAGTGAAAAATGGTTGAAATTGAACGATCCACTTTTTAATTTCAACGTTATTGAATCACCGTCACACCCGATATAATATTTCAGCTAGTAATTGAGTCAGAGAACCGTAAATCAGGACAAAGCATTGCAAAAATTACAAATTTTAAATTTGTGACATGCCAATTTCGACAGATAATCACCCCTAACTATTCACCAAGTGAATGGAATGAGAAAAATGAGGTGTCATTTTGAAGATCTCGTTGAGGTCTACAAAATGGTGACTATCATTATGTTTTACTGAAAAGAATTCTTTTTATTTCAAATAATTGATTTTTCAGTTTTATTACTATAACATTTTATTATTATTATTATCATTATTATTCTTATTATTACAGGTGTATATATACACTACTGTATATCGGCACCGTCCTTCTAACGGCAAATATTATTAAAAACTATTATTATGTTTTACTAAAAAGAATTCTTATTATTTCAAATAATTGATTTTTCAGTTTTATAACTATAACATTTTACTATAACTATATCATTTTTTCTATAACTATATCATAAAGCCACGTTAGTCAAGTCCAAAGGTCCAATAATCGATAAAAAGAACGAAATTGATGGTGTCATATGTCGTTCAAAAGATTGACAATGCCTAATAACTTCATGAAAATATAACCAAATCGTATTTAACACATCGCAATTTGGAGAATGCATGATGCGCTTCAAAATGTTACATCTGTTTTTTTTCATTTGACTTTAAAAGACAGAAAAATCCCGCCGAAGTTGAATTTTCAAGTAAAACACGAAAATACAATTTCTGCCTAAAAGTGTTATAACTTAATGAAAAATAATCAGAATCAAATGATTCACATGTGAATTTGAAGCTTATTTAATAAGCTGTCGAATAGATATAAAATATATAGGATCCATCAAACAGGGAGAACGGAATTAGCGTGAAAACCCGCAAAAGAACCAGCGTCACGGTCACGGACTTTTCTATAGGGGAATGTTCAAGGCTTGAGGATCTTTTCAAGGTCTGATGTCATGCGATTTACTTTTTCTGGTCTTTCTTCCGCTTTTCGCCAGGCTGAAATGTAGTTGGCATACATGGTGTTGCGGTTCGGGCGAATTCGAGTTTATTTGTTACTATAAATAAACACTTTTCGACCTAGTAGTCACAAAATAATATTTTTGTTTAGTGGATACTTATACTTTAAAGTGCTGGGCACATCCGCACTTGCTGTTCAGTCCTCGGGATCAGGGGAATAATAGAAGAAAATGAAAGAAAACCAATTTAATGATACTAGACTCGAAAATGATAACAATGGCCAAAATACAATAACTACGAAACGTAGAAGAGTGTAGAGCGGAGGAGGTCTACTACTTACACCTCCTCCGCTCTACACTCACACTCATACATCCACTCGTTTTACAATTGCGTAGTCTTATCCTTATCACGACAGTGATCTCCGCGTCGTAGTCTTAACAAAAATAATTGATGAAAAGGTTGAATGTGTCCTTGGACGAAACTCCACTTGGGAAGAACGGGACCAAGTTATTTCGCACCTCGTTTGATGGCTCCGGGAAGAGTTAGATTGTTAATAATAACGTGGGATTGATCACTACGAAGGTGTGCGTAGTTGTGATCAATGATAATCCCAAAATACTCGAGTTGACGATAACCGCCGGGCAGAGGGAATTTAACTGATTCCGGATTCAAGTATCAATCAATCTCGAGGAGTTCGCCCCTTTGTACGTTCCTTCATGAAGCTAGGACGAGACTGATTAATAATTCCGGAATCGGTATAGGCTGCAATTCGGTCAATGTCCGGGTGCATTGGCCGAGCTGATTCACTGGCATTTCGAAATAATATCTGGTGACAAGGCATTCCGTGGATGATGCCGTGTGGAGAATTGGGAAATCAATGCGATTTATTCACTCGATTCGAAATAAAAAGGAAAAATAAATTCCTTTTTTTAATTTTTTTAATTCTCAAACACAACAGTGGTGAGTTCGTGACAATGTGTCGCCTCACACTGTCTGAGTGATTATTTCTGAGTGACATTTGCAAACCTGCGTATCGAACTTCTGGATCCATCGCTTGAGATTTTTGGCTGATGTTTTTATTGTAAAACGGATATCAAAACTGGTTCATTTTCGATGTAGAGTTTGTTGACTTGAGGTTTGGTGTTCAATCCGATGTAGTTTATGTTACCGAACATCACCCCTTGACTGACTTTAATATTCAACGGTGTCAAAATTTTTCAAGGTTAAATGTCATGTAAGTCAGCACTTCTGATTTCTTTCCATGATCCTGTACGCGGATAGCCAATTTGCGAATATTGTGAATTCATAATGTATCTGTTGTCTCAGAACTGCCGAATGTTCCTCCTTCATTGATGTTTGTAGCGCTGCATATCCGAATTTCGGCTCCATTTGCTTATGTCTTACAGCGTCAGAGGTCTTCTTTGTGGCGAAGTAAGGGCTGGTGTGAGTATTCAGAGATTGTTATCTTCAGTAGTTGCAATGATGCAGAAGTCAGTAAATGTGAATAGTTGTTACAATGTTTCTCAAGCTGCGACTACTCGCTACAGTTATTAATTACATTAGTTCATTAATTCGACATTATTTCTAGTGATGACTCACCTTAAATTTCCTATATCGATAGATATTTTTCTTCAACCTTTGGTTTGGTTCGACTTCATTTTGTTTATTATAATTATTGATCGTTATTATTATTACTTATTTTATTGGCGTGACTGGAAAGTATGCCATCACTCCGTAATTGCCATATTTGCGTATAGCCTGTATTTCATATGTATACATGTATGTATTATTGTTAATAAAGGAAAAATAAAAAAAAATTAATTATATGGCCAACACCATTTCTTGATGTTGTCATATGAAAATAGTGAGTAAAATGAACTACTATATGTAGATGATTATCATGTTTTTTTTTTTTTTGAAATTTAATCACTTGAATAATTTTGTTTTCATGTTGTAGGTTTCCTGTTGACTCCCGGAGGTGTCGCGGTAGGATCGAACCCAATGTCCGCTCTCCACGAGCTTGGTTTTGCCAATTGAGAAGTTGTTATTCGTCTAGAGGGGCTGTACAAATGTCTTCCATCTGCTGCTTTATGGATTTTTGTGTTTCTGCAATCTCGTCTAGAGATTGCTTCGATAGTTATTGGATCCGAACCAGTTGTTGAAAAACGAAGAAGCCCGGGAGTTGACGTTTCCAGTTGACGTTTGGGTAGCCTTTGAGCTCGATTCAGGATACAGCATACCTTTTTTAGTATGAGAAGTTTGTGGCTTATCACGTCTGCGGTGAAATTTCTTGTGTTTCTCACAATAATACAGCCTACTCCTTGACTCCATGTTAGCTGGGTGATCTGCTTTGTTGTTGATCTAATGAGAATTTCCAGATGTTTGGGTTTGCATATTTCTATGTAGGAATAAAAACACACATGGTGGTAAATACTCTTTTTTGGAAAATTCCCCAATTTAAGAAGGAAGCCAAGTGCGATTGCTGGTTGAAGAGAAAACATATGAGAAGAAGCGAAGATTGTTATTGTGCCAGTTGTAATTTCGTTGGTTGAGCTGTAGATCATCAGGACACGAACCTCGACCACCCACCCGACAACACCTCGGAGGGTTCAATGTAGTCTAGGAGTGTGCGCTCTATATTCATTGAAATGAATTAATTGCTCCTCATTCTCATGTCGGTCTCATTCTAATTTACGATTATTGACTTATCATA